AAGGGGAAACCCTTTCAAAAAAAAAAAAAAAAAAAAAAAAAAAAAAAAAAAAAAAAAAAAAAAAAAATCTGGTAGTTGATCCCTTGTTTCAGGCGTTTTAAAAAATGAGTTTTTCGTATGAAAAGTATTCAGGATATTACCCCCTCCAGGGCTCTGCCTCTCAAGAGTAATTTCCTTAGGCCAGCAGTGTCTGGGAGTACACATTAAATTACAAAATTATTATTCGGGACATTGTCTTATTAGGGGCTTTCTGCTTTATTTTGAAACATTCATTTTTAGGATTTGTAATTCTATTTGAATTCCTCCCCCAACCTCCAGTCCTTAAAATTAATTGAATACAACATAAATTACTCAAAGAATTCATGAAAATAAGCTAGTGTAAACAGGGATTAGGATTCCTTAAATGGCTACAGAAGAAAGACCTATTCCTAGGAATCCCTAAAATGTCTTTCATAATGTCTCAAACAGTATAATTTTGATTGCTAAGAATCAGGAAAGAGGCAGTGTAAAAAAATATCAGCAAGTTCTTAGTTGATTTATAAATAAATGTCTGCTATAGGAGCTGTTTAAGAACGGGAGTATCACCATTTCTAGGGAATGAAGATACATGAATTCTTTCAAACATGCCAGGCCTGCTGCCTTCAGCCTGTTTCTGTTTTCTTCCTGGATGCTCTTTCCAGACTTTACACCCCCAGTCTCTGTTGTCTTTTCAAGCCCTGTAATTAGTAGAATTGCTCTTTGTAATTGCCCACTCTAATTCCGTTTAGTCTGCCCTACATTTTTCTCTATAGCTTACAAGTTTTTAACATACCGCATACATTTCTTATAATGCCTATTTTTTTTTTCCACTTAAGCATATAAACTACATGAGGGTAGGGGTCTTTATTTTGTTTGATGTTACATGCCAATTGCCCAGAAGAGTGCTTGGTACATACTAAATACTCAGATATTTGTTGTATGAATAAATAAACTCTGTGTGTGTGTGTGTGTGTGTGTGTGTGTGTGTGTGTGTGGTTTGATAGTATAAAATATAAGAAATGAATAATGTTAATTTTTGTGACTATTGAGAACTAGGATTTACCTATCTTATGAACAACCATTTGCAGTATTCTATAGATTTTTGATGGAAGTCTGCTGACTATGTCTTTGTTAATAAGCAGGGTTTAAACTAAGTTCAATATATTGCAAATTATAGGTAGCTGGTATTAAGTGAATTAGTTTAGTAAGTAAATTTATTTAATAAAGGCTAGCACTGATTATATTCTTAAACTTGCTTTTGTAACAACAAATATATATTAACTTTAGATTAAGCCTCAATACTTAGAATAATGGGGCTATGACATATTTTTCCAAAAGGCTGTTGCTTTGTTTAATTTTTATGTTGATTTATACTGTATTTCACTTTTGATTTAAAACCATCTTTATTTTATGTTATTTTTGTTTTGTTTCATCTTATTTTTACAGACAGGCTCGAGGAGAGAGCATCCTCAGATAAGAATATAGACCCACTCTCTGCTCCACATTACCATCCTCCAGAGGATCCTTTTGGTTCTGTTCCTTTCATTTCTCACTCAGGCAAGTTACATGTCTAACACCACTATCATTGAAAATAAAAGAACAAGGTAGCAAAACTGTTCTACTTTAAAAGAGAAGAATTAGGTGTTAGGTAGAAAGTAGAATAGAAAATTATCTTAACTGTTAGCCATCCTAGTCTTCCTGTTGTTTGAGCCACTGAGTTATTGTACCTTTGCCAATATGGAAAGATGCTGATTTACATAGTGGAAACATTACTCTTTTCACTGGTTATTATTTTTAAACCATGCATGAAAATATATCTCATATTTAAATACATTTAAAATAATTTAATATTTAGCTTCTACTTAGAAATTAGATCTTTTTCTAGCTTATATACTCTCACGATTGTACTTTAAAAATATTAATAATTTTGTATTTGGCACAATCATTTTGTTTTACCTACTCTCATATCCATCCTTTTGATTTCAGGTCAGAAGTTAAATGCTAATACTATTCACTACATAAAAATATTTTTATTAATAATTTCAAAGTAATTGTCCAATAGAGTACACTGATCAGGAGAGTTTTTAATTGCTGTCATTTATCTTGCTCTTTGCAGTTACTGGGCACAGTCCGTATTACTCCCATTTCTCCTTGCTGCCTTCTCATTGTCACTTTCCTAGATGACACAGCATCCTTGGTGGGGAAAGCTATGTGGATCGACTTCATCTGTTTAGATGTGGTTCCTCACACTCCTACTATATAAGTCAAAAGGGCATTATTTTTCTTTAATTTCAAAATACTCCACCATAGTTTTAAGAATCGTAGCACTCAATGTTGTGAGCTGCTAATGCAGGTTGCAGGAAGCTGTTTCAATTTTAGCTCCTGAACCCCTCTAGCTCCATTATCCTCTGCAGACTTGCACATAACCATGCAGACCACTTCTGAGGTACCCTGGGAGAGTGAGCCTGCGGTCAAGAATTGGGGAAAGCTCTTTTCTACAGAAACCCTGATTTTGACATTGACTTAAGGATTTTGTAATTAGCAATATGCTCACAAATTTGAGCTTGATTGTCATTGTTGTTTTATTTAACTTTGTGTACATTCTCTATTAGACTTGAAGCTTAGTGATGGTTGGAAATGTGACTTGTGTTTGATCTTGCCCTGTAACCAACCCAATAGTAACTTCATAGTCGCTGTATGAAAACATTATGGGTATCCATAAAAAGTACTTATAATACTTCTTAGTAGGAGATGATAAAAATGCCCCTTGCTATTAATATCTTCCCTTCAAAGCCTAAAAAAAATTGTGAACATTAATATTGGAATGGCTTGATTATGAAAAATTATGTAAAGTGGGGAATAGGCCTAGGAAAAATGTGCCTTAGAGAGAGGAAAAAGTGAACATTATGATAGCAGTGTTAATTTTCTACTTTGTAGATCCAAAGTATAACTAAAATAAAAATCTTAAGTAGATATCATTGGCCTATATATTAAAATGCTTAGAAATGCTTTGTTGTTGAGCAGCTGGAGAGATGGCTCAGCGGCTAAGAGTACTGGCTGCCCTTGCAGAGAACTTGGGTTTGATTCCCAGCACCCACATGGTAGCTAACAGCTGCCAGTAACTCCAGTTCCAGGGGAATTTGACACTGTGTTCTGACCTCTATGGGCACTGCACAACACAGGAGCACTTACATATTTGCAGGCAATTACACTCATATGCATAAGATTAAAATAATGAATAAAATAGTAAAAACAGAAATACTTCTGTATATAATTTTAGGTAAAAATTAGGTATTGGGGGCATTCATTTTCCTCTATCAGTAAAAGAGATGAAATTACTGAATTAACCTCCTCATAAACTTTATGGGAAAAGTTGGGAGAGGGAAAATGAGAAAGAATTATCTCCAATAAAACGACATTCCATCTAGCATGGTGAGAGCAAGTAAGCACCTGAAGATTTTCTAAGTGTGAGTACATGTGTAATATAGAATTAGTAGATGTGGTGTCAGCCATTGTACTTGAATTTGTAAGTTGACAATTACTGCACAGAATTTAATTCTAAGTAAAGCATGGACAGTACTGCTTGAAATAAAATTAATACAATTATGCATTGGAATGCTGTTAAAAAGTTACTGTTAGGTCCAATGCTAATTTGTATTTAAGAAGAACCATGGTCCTAAATCTAGTGTTCCTTATACTGGTTTTGCTAGGGAATTGTGCTGTTTATTTATTTGCTGTGTTTATTATTGTCTTGGAATGTAGACTATGTTGGCCACAAACTTGAGATCCTTGTCCTGCTTCAGCCTCCCCAGTACAGGGATGGCAGGCATATGCCACCCCAGAGAACATTCATTTTATTTTAAAAGAAAAAGAATTGTTAGAAATTAATTAACTAATTAATTAGCTAATTGAGATGATAGGAATCAAACTCTGGACCTTATGTGTACTAAACAAGCATCCTACCAGAGCTTCCAAGCCCTCTTAGAACTTTAAATCTTGAATTTTTTTTTCCATTTTATTTTCTTCAGTTTAACATTTTATAAAATGATTTTCAATTTTTTAAATTTAAATAATAAATGTGGGACGATGACGCAGCAGTTAAGAGGGCTTACTGTTCTTGCAGAGGACCAGAGTTGGGTTCCCAGCACCCACATTGTGGCTCACAACTGCCTAAATCTCCAGCTACAGGAGATCCAACACCTGTGATCTTCACAGGCACCTGATTCACATGAACATACCAACACACATACACATGATTTGTAATAATAATAATTTTTTAAAAATGCAGGTAGTTTAAAAGTCAAATTTAGTATTATAATGAAAAAAAATCTTCCCTGACCCTTCCTTCCTTTTCCCTGTTAAAACTACCTAGAGATAATTTTTCAGTTTTGATATTTTAATATATAATGCTTATTATTTTTTTTTAACCTCCTCCCATACTGATTTTAGATAGTATGTGTAAAGTTCCTATTTGGGAAGTAGAGATTTAGGCTAATTATACTGCTAGCCCTTCTCATATGCATAAATTCACCTACACTTATGCAGTTGTGTGCCACATAACAATATTTTGGTCAATGAAGGACCAAGTACATGACTGCCACCCACGGTAGCTCAGTGGTGAAGCCTGTGATAGTGTGCATAAGGCCCTGTCTTTGACCTCCAGCATTTAACTAATACATATACTGGGACATAGGCTTGTAGAGGATTATTTTGATAATGTTAATGGATATGAGGAGACTCAGGGCCATTTCCTGGACTGTATAAAATAGAGAAAGTAAACCTAATACTAGCTTGCATTCATCTTTCTGTTTCCTGATTGTGTAATGTAACCAGCTGCGTAAAGCTTCTGTTGCCTTAACTTCCCTACCATGTTGGACTGTACCTGGAACTGTGAGCTAAAACAAACCCCCTCTCCCTTAAAAAGTACATCTATACTTATGATAATAATTGTATATTTGAGACAGGGTCTCCCCATAGCCCCAGCTGGCCTAGAACTCACTATGTAGACCAGGCTGGCCTTGAACTCACAGAGATCTGCCTGCCTCTGCCTCCCGAGTGCTGGGACTAAAGGTGTGTGCCACCATACCCAGCAATAGTTATCTTTTATAAATACACCATCAAGGGGCTGGAGAGATAGCTTAGTGGTTGAGAGCACTGGCTGTTTTTGCAGAAGACCCAGGTTTGAATCCCAGCACCCACATGGCAGCTAAGAACTTTCTGTAAGTCCAGTACCAGGGGATCCAATGCCCTCTTCTATCTTCTGTGGGCACTACATGACACAGGTGCACTTACATACATGCTAGCAATACACTCATACACATAAAAATAAATAAAAAATATTTAAAAAAAAATACCATCAAATGTTCTCATGAAAAGGACTAACTGCATTTCTCAGCAAGGAGTCCAGTTGCTAACTGATGCGTGGTGGATTTTATGGCTATCTTTTCCTCCCATCCCTGAGCACAGTATGACTCAAGAGGTTGTGGTTGAATATGTGTGTACAGTCAGTCTCTGTCTCTGTCTCTGTCTCTCTGTTTCTCTCTCTGTCTCTGTCTCTCTCTCTGTCTCTCTGTCTCTCTCTCTCTCTCTCTCTGTGTGTGTGTGTGTGTGTGTGTGTGTGTGTGTGTGTCTCTTTCTCTCCCCGCATATGCATGCTTGGGTGTCTTTGATCACTCTTCAACTTACATATTGAGGCAAAGCCTCTCACTGAGCTATTTTGTCCTCTCTCACTATTTTGGCTCATCTCACTGGCCAGCTTGCTCTGGGGAATCCCGTTTTCACCTACTGTCCTTTGAGATACAGGGGCTATCACAAGCTTTTACATGTGTTCTGGGGATCTGAACTCTGGTTCCTCACACTTGTGTGCTAAGCGCTTTTAGCTTTTGTGCCATCTGCCCAGCCAGCCTATGTGCAGTTTTTGAGCGTGTAGATTCCTCGCCTCTTAAGTTCAGCATACCGCAGTCACATCCCTTCTGTAAGGCTTTGTTTTCTCTGGAGTTGGTTACTATGTTTATAATTACTCTGATTTTGTTTGCTTATTTTGTACCCTATCATTAATTCGTCTACATTTGGAAATATAAATTCCTCCCAAATTAAGACTTCAATTTTGCTTGGTTCAGTCTCTCATTGGGACTCTGAGGTGTGAATTGACTGCTTTCTGGGCTTGCCACATTCTCCTATCCGAGCGTTTTCTTTCACTCTTTATTCTTCCTGGAAATTCCAGGATTTCCTTTGCTCTTTTTTCATCTACTTGTGAAGAATCCCTTCTAGATTTTTCTTGACAGTGTATAATGATAGGGTAAGTTTTAGACTTTGTTGCCTCAGCTTAGCTCCTTTCCCCAAACTGACACTTGATTGACAGTTTGGTTGGGGAAATAATTATAGGTGCATGCAATTTTTTTTCTATGATTTCTCTTTTAGGGGAGATGGGGGAGAAGCATTATCTTGCTATGTAGCCCAGGCTGGCTTCATACATGAGCTCCTGCTGCCCCAGCCTCCTGAGTGCTCGGATTTTCCTGGATTGCAGAGCAGTGCTTCATTGTCTTCTACTTTCTCAT